AGAAAGGAGTGAGCCTTCCCCTGTGGCCACGGTTGACATTTCCACCTGAAGTGCCTCCTCAGCCATCCCATCTATGGGCAACCCCAATCCCTCCTTTAGAACATGGCACAAATGCTGCCACTCCAGAGATGCTCTTCTTGATCCTAGAGAATGTGGAGGAGTAGGCGGCAGAATTTGGATGATGCCTCTCCCCAAATGTCCATTGCTTCTTATTTAGCATAATTCAAGGGGGTGAAGAGTAGCCCCTTTGACTTTGCCTCTGTTCTGCTGGGGAGGCTGACCCAGAGCAGTAGGAAGACCATGGGGGGCCGGGAACGATCCCTTATGGAATGCTTTCAGACTAAAGGTTGATCTTCAGGTGCCAGGTGTTACCATTAAGTTGGAATACAAGGAAAGGAGAATTCCACTGTTGGAAGAGGTCCTGTCCTCTGGTAGATGGAGAGCTGACCCCTTCCTCTCCCTCCACCCCCAGAAGCCACTTCAAGGATATGACCTTGAGAGAGTGAGGTGCAATTGAGACCATCTGGAGGGTACATGGAACTGAATCTCTTTAAGGCCTCTGTATTAACCTTTAAGATTCTGGAGGGCAGGGTGGAGATGCAGTTCTCTGAGTTGGAGAGCAAGCCTCCCATATAAGTTTCCTTGCTCATTGTACCTTCTGCATAGCAAACCCTTATGGCCTGCCCCTTTCTTCTGTCTCTCCCGCTCCTCCACCTGCTTGGGGCCAGTTTCAAATTTCACCTGCAGAACTCCCAGAACTCCCGAGGGAGTTTTGAAATCAGAATTAAAACCTAAATGTATTTGATAAAGTTCCTGGTGTCTGCTTGATCAGGGGAGAACACCCCCTTGCCTTGACTCAGTTTTGCACATTGACATCTTTTTTTTTTAAGATTTTATTTATTTATTTGAGAGAGAGACAGAGAGTGAGCACAAGCAGGGGGAGCGGCAGAGGGAGAGGGAGAAGCAGGCTCCCCGCTGAGCAAGGAGCCCGATGTAGAACTCGATCCCAGGACCCTAGGTTTATGACCTGAGCCCAAGGCAACTGCTTAACTGACTGAGACACCCAGGTGCCCCAACATCCTTTTTTTTTTTTTAAAAGATTTCATTTATTTATTTTTCAGAGAGAGAGAGAGAGAGAACGCACAAGCAGGGGGAGTGGCAGGCAGATGGAGAAGCAGACTCTCCGCTGAACAAGGAGCCTGACATGGGACTCCATCCCAGGACTCTGGGATCATGACCTGAGCCGAAGGCAGATGCTTGACCGACTAAGCTACCCAGGTGCCCCAGCATGTTGACATCTTAACTGAATCCGAAAGCTCAGCTAGGCTATTTCCTCCAAAGACTTCTCCAAGGGTGAGTGGGAGGTGCTCTCTTTCTCTTCTGAATTTCCCCATGATGTTCTGAGCACATGTCTTCGAGTGGGCTTCGATTTCTCCCTGCATTCCATTTCACAGCTGTTTACTGAGTGTGTCTGCAGGCCGGGCACTGTGCCAGGCCTTGGGGACCACTTTTTGAGCAGGACAGATATAGTGCCTGATTTCATGGAGCCCACAATTTTGTGGTATATGTGTGCTTTCATACTGAAATATGTTCTAAAACTATTTGTGAAAAGAGTGCCATGTTAGGCCTATTCTAGATCATTGTTAACCTATTCAGTCTGTGGCAGATACACCAGGTGGATCACCACAGCCCGTTGGCTTCATGGGGGATGGGACTGATGCATTTGCACTGGGAACCTGCCTCCTGGAAGGGCCTGCCCTTGGGGTTAAAAGCTCTGCCACGGCCATCTTGAAAATTTTATTACTTTTAAAGAATTTAAAAACTTACTACTTTTAAAAATTACTTTTACTCCTTCAAAATTTTTTTCTGCCTTTACGGCTCCTGCACTGTCCTGTCTTCTGCCAGTTTCTCAGGAGGGGGTCTCGCCTGCCTTCTCCCTCCCTCCATGGTGCCCCGGGTCGTGACCCGCTCCCCGCCCCCCCGCCCCCATCCTGCAATCACCACCACTCTCCCATCTGGCGGCATCTGGGTGATGTTGGAAGAGGAGGCCTGGATTCTGCCTTTGCCGTCAGTCGGCATGGTAGGGGCCCAGGTGTGCACAAAGGGAGTGTTGAGATTGGGCATGTGCATGGTAGTGGTGTTTTAGGGCAGGACCTAGTGGAGACTGTCCCTGCCCCAGGCTGCCCTTGTCATGATTTATTCCGCAAGTGACGCGAGCAGGGCCAGACCCTTACCACCTCTGACCCAGGTGCAAGTGCTTCCCAGCTTGGAGACGGAAGCTCCTTGAGGATCTCCTGTCCCCTGTGCACTGGGGCAGGGGCCTGTGGGGAAGGAGGAGCCCTGGTGGGGGCACAGTGCATTGGTCCATGGAGGGGGTTAGATGTGAGCTCTTGGTGCTGCACTGAGTCCCAGGCACTTGCCAGGGACTATTCCCCATGCCCAAGGGAGCATGGCATTAAATAGGGAATAAAAAACACCATGACAGGTTGAGAGAGACTGAGAATGAAAGGGCAAAGTTTCATACTTTAGGAGATTTAAGAGTACTTTTCCCCTTTTTGAGAAAGGAGCTCCCCATTTTCATTTTGCATGGGGTCCTGCAGCCAGCCCTGCACCCAGACCCAGCAACAGCCATGCCTCAATTGATTACAGTGACCACACATGCTAGGGATTTGCCATCAGATCTTCCCAACCATATGAGTGGGGAGCCTTGATCATTTTCATTCTATGAGGATAACGAGGTGCAAGGTGCGCATCCAGTAAGTGGCCAAATTGTACTCTGATGTGAGTGTTGCCTGACCCTGGTACTTGAGCACCTGACCATGAAGGCTGAGAGGAGCCTCACGCATGGCTGGTGTGCAGGTAAGCTTTTGTGAATTGAACGCATGAGTGGAGGAGCTGGGTGTGGGAGCAGAAATCACGCCATCACCTGTGCTCCTGGACTGCATTTAGGAAAGACCAGAGCGCGAGCACCCCATACCAGCAAAGCCAGAGGACACGGGGCTGTGCGGTCGGGCAGGGCTGGGCCTGCGGTCCTGAGTGGGCGGCAGCACGTGACCACCTGCAGCTGCAGAGCAGTGGCGAGCACAGCATCACTGGCTCAGCTGGCCCTTCCTCCTACACAGGGCCTGGCCATCTTGTGCCCAACTCTGGTAAAGCACCATTTTGTTTCTGCCTCACCATCTGCTCTTCCTGTTCTTTTGCGAGCTGTTCTAGGTGTGCTTATTTCCCCTTTTGCTCTGGAGGGAAACGTGAGGCCTAGGCAAAAGACACCCAGTGCTCCGGAAGCCCGCTCATTTCCCGTGAGACCACCCTCCTCCACCCCAAATGCCTCTCCTCAGTCTTTATTGCCCTGTCTCTGAGCATTCTACCTTGGATCCTAAATTGGGGTGCATTCCAGTTTGTTTTTTTTTTTGCAAAGTGATAAAATATGGATGCATGCCCTTTTTAAAGCTTTTATTTTAATATTATTATGACTTCAAGAACCATACAGAACATTCAGGAAATATTATGCTGGCTTTTCACAGTAATGTGGAAGGGGTTATATGTTTGGAATTAACTCAAATTATCAGCAATTTTAATCAGTTTTTTTTTTGCACCATTCAGAGAGCAAAATTAGAATTGCCTGTGTTTGTGTTCGACAGTGTTTTTGAGATAATCAAAAATTAGCCCGTGAAACCATAGAGATCTTTATAGGAGCAGGAAGGATTTGGAGGCAGCCTTTCCCTCCAGGCAAATGAACTGGACTTTTATGAGAGTAAATACGAAATCTGAATCCAGCTGCACATTTTATTAAAACTGCTAACATTTCATGGTCACCTCTGCTTAGCTGGCAGCCTTCCGGAATAGTCACCCCTGGCCGTATCTTATTAGCAACCTGCAAGAAAATAACTAAAAATAATCGGCTGTTGAAATGATTATTTAAGCCTCTAAGAAATGCATCCTGATGACTGTGCGTGACCGTGTGGTGGCTGCGCTCTTCTCCGTCCTGCCTCCAGTCCGGCTCCACTTCTCGGCTGCTGCTTTAAGACTGCAGAGCGCCCCAGCGGCCAGAGGCAGGGGAGGGGGTCCCCGCTCGCCTCCGCGCCGCTCGCTCGCTCCGCGCCCGCCCGCCCGCCTCCCAGGCAGGGAAGGTTAGCGACGGATCACTGCGATTCGGGCCGCGGGAGAGGAAAGATGAGCCTGCCCGCCCGCCTGCTGCCTGGATGTGGAGGCTGAGGGCTGGCGCACGGGAGGCCGCTTGCTGCGCGTTCGGGGCGCCGGGTGCCCGGGATGAGCTCACGCCCGCGTCTGCGGCTCTCTCCACCTGCCGACCTGCCGGCGGCCCCCTGAGCTGACGGCGCACCTGGGCTGCAGCCCCGCCGGCCCGCTCTGGCCGCAGCGTTGGGCGCGGCGCCCGGGAGCAGGTGTGCAGGAGCGCAGCGCGCGGCGAGCGCAGCCCTCGCCCCGGAGCCCGGCCGCGCCGCGTGCCCGGGCGGCTCGGCAGCAGCGGCGGCGGCGGCGGCGGGCGGGCGGCGGCCCCCGGGCAGGTGGCGAGCGAGCGGAGCCGGGCGGAGCGCGGGGTGGGGGTGGCGGGGGCGTGTGGATACTGGCTCTCCTCCAGAGCTTCACCCCAGTGAGCCGCGACCGCCCTGCTGGTGTGGTTGGGTATCAGTTTCCTCGAATTCAAGTGTGTCCTAAAATGGACAGCGACCTTCTAAACAACTTTTCAGTGATTTGCTCTCTTCTGTGTTACCAGCTGATAAACTGCAAACCACTGGGTCCCCTTTCAAGCTAGACTCGCTAGCAAAGCTGCAGCTAATCTAACTTTCCATGAATGGCCCTTCGATTTTCTCAACACTCCTGCCCCTCCGCCCCC